CCCCAAAACCCCAAAACCCCAAAACCCCAAAACCCCAAAACCCCAAAACCCCATATGATATTTTATAAGTTGAAAATAAAGGAACTTAGAAATGGGCTGCACCTCATGCAAACAAAACCAAACCATCGAAAGCACTAGATATGTTAAAGATGTTATCAAAAGTAAGTATAAAATAGAGAGAATCATCTCTGGAGATGGACTCCTTGGAAAAGTCTTCATTGCTTCCATCAAAGATGAGCCTGAACAGAAGGTTGCTATCAAAGGTAAGAAAGTTGTTTTAAAAAGACTTGTAAGGGTTAGAGAATCTTATTAGAGTGATATCCTTACTATGATTTTACCTATCTAAACTTCTACAGCCATCGCAAAATAAGCAGATGAACTTGTCTAATAAAGATATATCAGCAATGAAAGTTCTTGAAGAAGTAGAGTTTATTGTGAGTTAATCTATAGGTAAAAATTCTAGAAAAGTTGGACCATCCTAACATGTGTACATACATCGAAAGTTATGAAACAGAAAAGACGATATACATAGTAATGGAATACTTTGAGGGTACTCAGCTCTTTGACCTCATGATCCAGCGAGTGGAGTCCAAAGGTTCATTCAACGAGCGAGAAGTTTGTGATATTATTAAGAAAATTCTTGATGTCCTTAAGTACTGCCACTCGCAAGAAATCATGCATAAGGATCTAAAGCCAAAATAAAGTCCTTTGTGACAGTAATGGAAACCTTAAAATAGTAGATTTCGGTCTATCTAAATGGGACTTTTTCACAACAATACAAATGATGACTGGAAAAACATTCTATTTAGCTCCTGAAATTCTAAAATAATGATAAAACAACAAAGTGAGATATTTGGTCTGTAGGAGTTATCATGTATAGTCTCCTAAGCGGCTGTTTACCATTTACTAGTGATACCAACCAGACAGTCTTTCAGAAAGCTATTAAAGGAGAATATTCTATGGAATCTGGAGTCTGGGACGGAATTAGCCATCAAGCCAAAGATCTTATACAACATATGATAAATATAGACGTTGATAAGAGATATACAGCTGAAGATTGCCTTGCTCATGAGTGGTTTACAATGGAACACCAGACCATTGATGACAAGAAATACTCAACTGGAATCGTTAAAAACCTTAAGTTAATGCGATCGCAAACCATAATGGAAAGCGCAGCTCAGACGTTGGTAAAATAAGAAAATTGAAATCCAAGACATCAGGGGAATCAGAAATGAACTTAAAAAATTATGAGATGAAGATGGTACAGTCGATTCCATCAATTTCAAGAAAATTCTGCTTAAATTTGAAAGCAGCTTAACCAGTGAGCAAGCTGATATAATCATTAAAGAGATATTATCTACACAGAAAACTTCAGGAAGAATAAATTACTTAGAATTTATTGATGAATTAAAAAGCCTACATAGCTATAACTCTGACACTCGCATGTGGTTAACTTTCAGTAAATACATCAACCAGGAATCTGGCCATCTGCCTTATTCTGAGCTACAAGCTGCTATCGGTGAAGTTGATTCCCCAAGAACAAAGGACGATATCAGCCAAGTTTGTATGATCCTAAACATCAGTGAGGACGAGGAGATAGATTTTGTAAAATTCAAGGAAATACTAAAGCACAAAAAGCACTATTAATCATTTACACATTGACAACTTTCTCATAAATTAAATGGTGTAAATTATTATGTAAATTGGGAAATATGAAAATTTCAAGTCCACCGCTTTTTTAGGGGTTTTGGGGTTTTGGGGTTTTGGGGTTTTGGGG